CTAAGATTTCCCTCTTTCCCTAAATTAAGACATTTTACGGATTTTACTTTGCAAGATTTTCCCTAACATATAACCAAGGAGCGCAACTTTTCATGTGCACTTTCACTCATTCTCATGACTGCTCTTGTCTAATAATTAATAAATAAATTTTGTACCCTCCTTCACGACCTAAGACCTGTTTTAATCCTTCCACTCGGCAACGACGTTATATATATATATATATATATATAAATATATAAAATACCTTACAAACGTTAATATAGGATTGTTTATGTGAGCGACATTTAACTATTTAGGTCCCAAGTTCACTTTAATACAAATAAATCCCTTTAGGAAATATAATAATATTACTTAAATTATTATAAATTAATATTGAAAAATTTAATTTAAGAAATTATTAAAATTTTCTATTCACTAGACCATTAAATTTTATAAGTGATTAAAAATTTGTCATTAAAATTAAAGTAATATTTAGGAATTTGTGTAATTATTATTTCGATGAGTTATTTGCTTTGTGACTATTGAAGCGAACATAATTAGCATTATAGAAAATTTAAAGTGTACGATGTTCATGATTTAGTTTCCTGAAAAAACTAAGTGACATAGATCTACAAATATTACATACATTTAATATTTGTTGTATGTAATGTTTTTTTTAGTAAATAGACACAAGCCTAAATGGATGTTTCACTTAATTAGGTGTTATTTTTTTTTAAGGAGATACTTTGGACACCACCTAAGAATTTGGAGACCACCAAGAATTAATATATTTTGTTCCATTTAATGGGTTTTGCATGATAGAAATTACATATTACCTCAATAATAATAATTGAGCACAGAGAAAAAAAAATGATAAAATTACCGTATTATGTGACATTTCTGATAAAAAAAGAAAGAAAAGTATTCTAAATAATAAAAAAAATATATGAATAGATGGAATTTAAATCATTCATTTGATAATGTTTCCTTCCATTTGGTAACAGTTTACCGGAAATTCCAGTTCTCGAATTTATAGTTACCACACATTTAGTAACACCTATCTTATTAATATGCACTTTTAGCAATAAATAAAAATTTTTATTGTAAATTTAATTGAGTAAGTTGTTTTTATGCCCTGCTCTAAGATATCATGATGAAATTATTGAATTTTACCACGTTTACCAAATTTTATGAAATATTATAAAACTATATTTTACTATTCATTTTACAAAAATCATTATCAAAGCCCTTCGGTAAAAGCTACCGAACTTATGGTGTTCCCATAAGGCCAAAACGCGATAAATTTTACCATTTTCTGGTATTTTTTACCGTATTTTTTTCAGAGCATGCTTTGTTTTTATGTTACGTTAGTTCATTAATTACCTTTTTATTTCTTCTATGAGTTTTCTAAACTTATATATATATGAAAATACTTTAAGCTAACAATTTAAGCCTAGACGCTATATTTTTTGCGTTTGAAATTTCTAGTTTTTTTTTTTTTAATCTATCAGCAGTATTTTGTAAGGAATTGTAAGGCATAAATAGAATCTGAAAATTAAATAATATAAGCAGTATTTTATATTATTATTAAGTTTTTTACAATTTCAAGTTATGATAAAAAGTACCACCATCTTCACTGCAGGTACTTTTGGCAATAATTTGATCCGGAATATTTTACAGAGTGTTTGGTTCTATTTTCTTTAATCAAAGTAGTTTGCTTTCAATATCATATTTTAGTTGCATATTAGTTTCTCTTAAAGAATTTTTTTCATTTGTTTCCTTTAGTAAATCAGTAAATCATCTAACTTAAACTATTAAATACTACTATCAATAATAATTAATTATAGGCTCTTTAGGAGTGCTGCTATAGTGATACAGCTATTATATTAATTCCTATGTTAAACCTGTTTCATAGCTATTTAAAGCAAGAATAAAAAAATAATTGGTATTAACCTGAAAAACAGTTGAAATGAAATAAATTCGAATTTGTAATGTCGATATGTAAAAAGCCCTTCTCTCTACACCTGACTTATCGACCGAAATTTCTTCTTCAGAAAGAAAAAATTGACTCTGAAAGCAGCAAATAAATGCTTTTTTTTCACAGTTAACAGTTTGAATACTGTCTTATTTATGGTTATTTGACTATTTTGTTTGACTAAGGTCAAATAACAATAAAATAAATTGTTACTTAAAAATTTTTTCAGAGAAATTTCTGATAGCATAAAAATTTGTTTACTGTTTGTTAAAATACATTGATAATTTTAGAAATTATTTCCCGTTTTCAGAGTGTATCAGATTTACATACTTTGAAATTTAATCTCAAAACATTTAAAGAGCTCCACTTTCAAACCATGTACACAATCGTTGATAATAACAAATATTTAATACAATTATTTAAATAACTATTTAAATCTCTCCATTTTTTTACAGTGATAAATTATTTTATTTAAAAAAGATTTAATTGTTTACAGTCACTTCATTGTTTATATTCCTTTTGAAATAAGAGAAAATAAATTTTTTTTTCATTCTAAATTTTAATACATGGATTTTTACATTCCAAATTAATTTTAACTGGCTTTCTAAATGAGTATATATTTAAGTATCAGTATCCTTAACTATAAATTAACCAACTCCACTGAAATATTGTCTAGTATTTTTATTTATAATTTTACATTTTCTAACAGAACGGCTTGAAAATAAAGTAATTAGCAAAATAATTTGAAAGTTAAATCTTAAACGTAATTATTCAAAAAAAAAATTTATATCCCTCCTTTGCTTTAAAAAATAATCTTTCCCTTGAGTTTTTTAAAAAATTATTATTTACTACAGTTATTTCCCTCTTTTCTATTCAAAAATCCTTTTCATTAATTTAAGCAGTTTAATAAATATCAAAAATAGGATGATATTTTGACAATAAATATCAAAAATATCAATGGCAGAAATCAAGCTATTGTTGATATTTATTTATACAATTTCATTAATTTAAAATGTTATTCAATTTTAAAATGTCTATACAATTTTATAATATAAATGTTAATTAAGTTCAAATTTAAAATATTCAATTTAATGTATCGAATCTTGTTACTCAGTTTTAAAATATTTTATTTAGCATAGGTAACTTTCAAACAAAGATAATTTTCATTGTATCTATTTATAGTTTCGTTTTAAGTATTTTTTCCCTCACATTTTCTTTTTTTACTTTCCGAAATTNTATCCAGAAATGTTTACAATTCATTCATTTATTTTTTATTAGCGTTAACCGTTATTACCGTTACCAGCGTTTGCTTATTTTTATAGAATATTTAAGATCTGTCTAAGAACATGCTTTGTTATAGCTCAAGAGAGCGTTCGCCTTCCTATGAGGTGCACCGAGTTCAAATTCCAGCTATGGCTGGGTGATTCGAATTCCGCACAAGGTTCGCACCGATCAAAGTGCAGACATAATATGTCCCCAGTGGTAGATCGATTATGGGTTGTTGGACCCCTTGCCATTAGGCTAACCGTGGGAGGTTTTCGTGGTTTTCCTCACCATGTCATGTTAGTGCAGGTTAGTTCCATCAAAAAGTTCTTCACGAGCGAATTTCTCCCAATACTTTATCCAGGATATCCCTTATCTTCTGAATTGGGTTCAAAATTATACGGCTACCGAGTTGAACATTAGTAGTCGTAAATACAAAAAATTTTCTGTTCAATGGCTGTTATAAAAAAAAATGTATCATTTTTGATATTTTGTTAATATATGCTCTCATTTTTTAATTAAACTTTCATACCAGACTCTTATAATTTATCAGATATAGTGTGATTTCATGCACTAGTACAATGTAATTTATTTTGAATTCATATTTTGTTTGCATATAGGTTATGATTAATAACTATAATTAAGAAATATTTTGTATGGAAATTTTTTTTTATTTAAAAATATTTTTGATTTATTAAGTCTTTCTTAACTATAAAATTATTTTAAAAATAGAATAACATATACAATGACTATTTTTAGATTATTATTTTGAAGTAGACACATCTTTTTAAAAATATATATTTATATAATCCCAAAACAATTTTTTTCACGAAACGATCTTTTTTAAACAATGCCAGCAAAAACATTTTGTTAAATCTAACGGGAAGGGTTGATTATCATACAGTAAGACAGGAAGCGATGTAAGGAAGACGTGCATACCTGAAATATTAGATAACTGAGGCAATGTAACTGATTAAAATTTAAAATACCTATATGCTAAAGAATATTTTACTTTAATGTGACTTCAGGAAATTTAACTGGAACATAAAG